ATCTTAGGGGAATTCTATTGATTTGTTTTTGAGGAATATCATCTTATATAAGATGAGCACCCTTAAGGTCGGTCAAGAGCATTGGAGATTCATTTTTGAGAGGAATCAAAGAGATTACATTCTATGAGGAGCTTTGCATGCAAAATTTTGGAGGATTTTTTACCTATAGAGATAAATAAGAGGGTATTTTTATTATTTTTTTGAAGATTTTTATTTTCAGGGAATTCGTAAAAGAGATTACGGTTCCAATAAAGTATATATATGTTGAAGAGAGTCGGAGGAGATGGTGGAAAGTTGTATGGGAATTTTATTGGTTCAACCCTTCCTTCACAGTGTACCTTATATAGGATATGATAATTTCTATTTGGTTGTTTGAGTTTCAGAGGTTATAGATAGTAATATCGTTTTTTTTTTTCTCTCTGAGAACATTTACACATATCTCTATGAAGTTTTAGTAACATAGGAATCATCAATGTAGAAACTATGGGAGAGAAACACGTTTTCAAGAAGTGTTCATCACTGGGTGCATAATTGTCGTCGTTGAGAAGTTTATTTACATTATTTAGTTTATTTGATTGAACTGATAGTAAAAGTTGATAAACGAAAATGGTTTCACGAGCTGGGTATTCTCACACCAACACTTCATATTGGAGATTACAAGTTTACAATTTTCATATCGATCATCCGTCAAAGTGTTTGGACATGATCGATCATCCGTCAAAGTGTTTGGACATGATTTTGTCCGAATCCTAGCTTTTTTTTTTGCTAAAGATGTAAATCCTAGCTTTCTTTTTACTAAAAGAGTTTTCCGTTTCTGTGATTTCTTGTTACTATGGGGTTTATTGGAAGTTGACAAAAAAAAAAATCAATCTTTTTTGTTTATGATTATATTTCGAATACGTTAATAGTATTAAACAAAATTATAAACTAAAATTTATATATTTATATATATAAAGTATATCCCATAGAAATTAAATTTTATCAATGGCATTATATTTAACTAGATTATACATAAATATTTCAATGTTAATAAATAATTTATTATAATAATTATAATAATAAATACAAAACACATGACACATCAAATAAATTATTATATTTTTCTTTGTTAAATGAAATTATAAGACTTTTTTAATATCTTGGTTACTTAATAATCAAACTGCACAAATATGTGATGGTGATTCATATATTAGATATAGATATTAGCACAACCTCTTTTAGAACCGATTATTTTGGTAATCAAATTTTACATTGTTGTATTTGAAACATCACCAGACAATATGGGAAAAACCGATAAAGCTTTATTGTTTTTTCTATTATTGAAAGCTGGTAAAACTATAATTTAAACCAAACGGAATCCAAAAAAACAAAATCGAGAAACAAAAAGAATTGCTACGTACACACAAAAGAAAACATTCAACCACGACAACACAACAACAAGAAAAAAAAAAGATTTTTGAACAAAAAAAAAATAGGAGATGTCCATTATTTAAAATTATATTATTCTCTTCTATTTTAAACTTAGTGTTGTTTCAGATTTTTTTAACAAATAAACAAATATCAATTTAGAATCTTAACGTAACAATTAATAAGAAAACATATGAAGTAAAATGATTTTAATAGATAAAAGAATTCAAGACTCAACTTTTATGTATATAAATGGTAAAATAGATGTATTTTTAATTCATATGTAGATATTGAAATGGTACTTAGATTGAAGAAAATGTATAGTCAACATTTAGTTTCCAAAAAATTGTCAAAAATATGAATTAATATGATTCACAATAATAAAAATAATGTAGTCAATATAATTATTAGCATTAAATAATGACAGAACAATTAATTAAATCATCAATTTGGTATATTGACTAGGACTATAAATTTGGACAGAAATTCAATTAGTTCAATTAAATGCAAAAACAATTTGGTGTATTGAATAGGACCCTAAACCACATAAAGATTTTAATATGTTAATTGTTTAATTCGGATTTTAGTTTTGGTTTACTAGTATGGTTTAAGAAGAATAATCAATGCAAAACCAAACCAAACCAAATCTAATATAGTTTGGTAGAATTATAATTTAGCTTTGAATTCATTCTTAAGGAAATTATATTTACTCCTTTAAGAAAATAAGTTTCATTTTTAGTCCATTTAAGTTAAATTGGTTATGGTATTTTTGATATTTGAAAATAACTATTTAACCAAATCAAAGGAAAATTCCAGTTTTTGAGTTAATATTTTCAACTTGGTTTAGGTCTAAAAGGTTCGGTTTAACTTAAACATACAATAGACATTCAATACCTTTTAGTAAGTAGAATTAATTTTACATCTTTATAAATCATCTATTTATTTCTTTCTTTTGACTAGTATTAATTTCCAAAATTTGATCTCTTTTCATCTCTATATAAATGATTCCCGCGTTAATCTTTCTTCATACACTCAGCAACATTTAAAGTCTTAAAGAGAAAAATTAAAATCAAAGAGTGGCCATGACAAGAAAGAAAGTAAAACTTGCATGGATTGATAATGACAAGTCAAGAACAACAAGTTTGCAAAAAATGAGGGTAGGATTACTGAAAAAGGTAAAAGAGCTAACCATATTGTGTGCTGTAAAAGCTCTTGTAATCATTTTCATCCCTAATAAGGTTCATCCAACGGTGTGGCCATCTGTTGAAGCGACTCATGGTCTCCTATGCGAATTTTTTGCTTCACCGAGGTTCATGCAGATTAAAAAGGAGACAAATGTTGAATCCTACATAAAAGAGAAGACACAGAAGATTCAAGAACAATTGATGAAGAGTAATAAGAAGAACAAGGAGTATGTCATTAATGAGCTGATGATGCAACTACAAAACGGTTGTAGAATTGATGATCTTAACCTAAGTGAGATGTATGCCTTGTTATCTTTTTCAAGGGATACTATCTTACTTTGTAGGAAGAAACTAGATTTCATGCAGTTTCCTCCTCTTCGCGATCCACCAGTGTTTCCATTTGAAACACAAGTTGAAGAGTTTAAGACCATCACAAATGATATTTTTGTAGGAGGCGGTCAAGATAATGAGAGAGCTGGAAAGACAGATGAAGCAACAAGAAGAATCAACGTTGATATTTTCAAGGAGAGTAAAAGTTATTACTTATTTGATCAATGGGTTTTCCCTCCCAGCCCACCTAAACCTGCAATATATCAACAAATAGGGAACGAAAATCCAAACCCTGAAAGTTATTGTCTGTATCAAGAAAGCAATAGCAATGGCAACCCTCATTTGGTAATGGATCCACTTCGTCTCCAAATGATGACTTCCCATGGTTTCGTTGGGCCAGTCTCTCAACCTTTACAACATCATAACATGATCGATAATCCAGTGATGGCTATGAATCAACCAAAGCAAAATCCTTTTGATTTCATGAGTCATGAGCTGGAAATAAACGAGGAAGGAAGCAACATTAACAACTCGCAATTTTATAGGAGCAACAATACTACAACGACTAATGATGGTTTTCGCCAAGAACCATCTCTTAATGGAACAACTGCTTCTGAAAATAATGTTGATGCGACAGCATTCAATATCAACATGGGTTGGCCTGATTTTAACAATCATCATTTCTAAATTTTTGATTCGGTTTATGTTCTAAGTTTGGTATGCATTTATCTTTAAAATCTTTTTTTTTTTGTTATTTTAAAATGGTGTTTGTGTGGTTTTTATCTTTCTTTTTTAAAAAGTGTTCTGTTTTTTTCTTTGTTTGGAATAATAAATCTTTTTATTTTGTTAATTTTTGTAATGTCCAACTAATCATAAAAATAAAAAAATTAATTTAATAATTTCCATACTTTACAGTCAACAAAAACAATGGTTAATTATTTTCCAAAAATAAAGATGAATAGACCTTTATATTTTTTCCATACTTATTTGGTATTTTTGCGTCGATATTCCGCGTGGAAGATTTGTCAACAAATTGATCTGACGTTTTTCTCTCCATAGTCCATACGCATGATCTATCTCTTTTTTTTTTCTTTTTTTTTTGTGATTTACTTTTCTTGTCCATCTTTAATCTTAATTATTACCCTGATTTTATTAAAATGAATTACATTTTTTTTTAAAATAAAACATTTAAAGCATATTGATGGATGCCTTTTTTTTTTTTTTTTCTTTTTTTTTTTTAAACCTGATGGTAGATGCGTTTAATTGGACAAATTTATAACCATTTTTTTTTAAATCGTTAGAAACTAAACAAATAATTTATTTTAAAAAAAACTTATAAAATCTACCACTTATTCCCAATTCCTTTCAAAATCTACCACATTCATTCTCTTCTTTCAACTCATACCATATTTTGATGTAGAGTTACCATTTTGCCCTCCCTATTTATCATTCCAATTTATCTCTCCTTCCTATTTATCTTCATCCCCTATTTATCTTTCTCTTTCTCTCGAAACACGTGCACTTTAACCCAGAAACATTATATCTCTTGAGACTAAACAATTAACTTTCGTTTTTGTCTCTATATCTTGTCTCCGATTGAAAATTATCTGTTGCGTCTAGATCTTGTCCCCGATTTCATCATCTTTCTATTATCCTGAATCTCATATCTTGTCCACCAATAGTTCTCATTTAAGGGTTTCGAATTTTATTTAGATTTTTCACCATCTATTTTGGTCATCTATTTTGGTCCACAGATTAGTTTTTCCTTTGATTGCAAAATAACCGGATTATTGATTTTTTTTTCCTTTGATTGCACTCATTCGAATATGAACTTGTCTCCGATCGAATTATATTACTCATTCGATCTGAACTTGTCTCCGATCTAATTCTGTTACTCATTCGATATGAACTTGTCTCCGATATAATTCTATTACTCATTCGATCTGAACTTGTCTCCGATCTAATTCTATTACCCATTCGATCTGAACTTGTCCTCGATCTAATTCTATTACCCATTCTATCTGAATTTGTCCCCGATCTAATTATATTTACTCATTCGTTCTAAACTTATCCCCATATAACATATTATATAAATAAAATTATATGCAATTGTAAACATGCAACATTTATTGCAACTTGTTCCTTTATTTGACACATCAGTCTGTCCCTTTATCTGACACACCAGTCTATCACCATCAAGGACAATTTCGTCCACAATTTGCATGTGGCAATGAAATATGATAGATTTTGAAAACTCTTTCTAAATGTGGTAGATTTTAAAAGCCATTTTTAAAAATGTGGTACATTTTGCAAGATTTCCTTTATTTTAACAGAGAGGAAAAAAAAACTAATATTTAACTTTTGAAATATCCTTCTCGTCCAAATATCTTAAGAGCTGATAAAACAAAAGGCCCAAATTGTTATATGGGCTAAGAATAAAAAGGCCCATATATATACCTCTACCCTAGGGTCTTCAAGGTATATATTCAGTTACGCACCATTTTCACTTCCTGCTACCGTCGCCGTGAAATCGCCGATTAGGGTTCTGAGACAAGAAGTTTCTCCGCCATGAGAGCTAAGGTATTCATCTCTCGAATCTTCACCAATACATTTTTGTGTATTATTAATCTGCTACGTCTCTTATTGTTGCTGCTAAGTTCTGTATATGTGTGGTTTCGCAGTGGAAGAAGAAGCGTATGAGGAGGCTGAAGAGGAAGAGACGAAAGATGAGACAGCGATCTAAGTAGGCTCATCTTCAAGACTTCCCTGTTCCTGTCTTTTCGCTTAAATCCTAAGTACTTTTGTCTGAACTTGTTTCAGTTTTAAGTTGTTCTTGGCTTTGGTTTTGTTGGATTGTTATGGAGTCTCAATTAATGTTAAAGCTTAATCTATCTACTCTTTTTTGCCAATCATGTTATCATTTGGTTTAGATCTTATGGAATGATTCAGATTTAGGTTATACAAATCTTGGAATATACAAATCTTGATTGGTTTAGTAGGAACAATCAAACCAAATTGCGGACAAAACCTTAAGTAATAATATGGTTTATGTATATTTTGAGATTTTGAGATTTATTCATTGTGAGAGTAGTGAGAAGAGAGGAACCATCTTTGTCTTTTGCTTCTGATTCTGCAAACTGAAGAAGTAGTTGAAGAAGAAGATGTGATTCGGTTTAACGCAGCGCAGAGAGATTGCTTCAAAGCTTTTGCTGATGCAGCTATGTTTGTCGTCTCATTGCAGTTGCTATCTTTTAGGATGAAATTGATTCTCATTCTTTCTCCTACACACATGATTTCAGCTTGGATTGTTTCGAGATTTAGCTTTGTGAGAACTCTAATGATCTCTGAGATTGCTTCGGGTTGATCTTCGCAGCAAAACGAAGCTTTGAAGATGATTGTATTTGTATTTGATTCAAAGTCAGAGATGGTTTCAGGCTGAACAGTTACTTCATCTGCTTCTGTTGGAAGATCTTCGAAGCTTGGTGATTCTGTTGCTTTTTGTTTGAGCTCCTTCACTTGTTCTATCACTGATGCTAATAGAGCTGCTTTGTCTAACTGTAGACATTCAAGTCAAAACCGGTTTAGTTACATTGATAATACTCATAACCTAGCTAGATAATAAACCGGTCAGCACAAATTGAAAATTCTTGACTAAACCGTAATCCGATCAAAATCGGTTTACTCGAATTGAATTTCATGACTTGACCGAAAACATTCCAAGAATGAGAGTGATTACCTTGTCGGAATTGGGGACAAGTTTCCGGAGAGCGGTGAGGTGAGAATTAATCCGGCCACGGCGTCTTTTCTCAGCTTGACGGTGGCTTCTTGAAAGTGACTCTGCTTTTTCAATCCCACCGACACAATCATCCGCCGGGAAATAACCGGAGGATGAAAAAGAGAAGCCAAGATTAAACCGGCTCCAATCAGAATCGGGGGACTCAGATTGTAACGACCATGAGACCATATATGGAGTTGTAGAATCAGACCACTTGCTTGAGTCGTAAGAATTCTCCATCACCACAAGAAAACCAATAAAGAATTGTTAAAAAATGTTTTTGTATTTTAAAAAGAAGTAATAAGTTTTTTTTTTGGTTGCAGAATCTGAAACTGAGAGTTGAAAGAGGTTTCTGTGTAAGTGGAAGTGAGTGAGATAGAGAGAGGTCGAAGTTTTGGGTGTTGATCTAAATAATGAAGGAGAAATTTAAGGTTGATGTTGATTGGTGTGATACTCCTTGTAGACTTTTATTGGTTTTTTCTTTATATGAAATTTAAAATTTGCATAAACGTGCAGAGCCGCAAATTTTGTGTTGAATTTTCGCTCACAATTAAAAGAGTCATATGATAATGATATGATATGGAGTTCTAATTTTGTAAAAAATACGAGGTAGTAAAATCGTAAGAATAAAATGTTATCGTACAAAATTAACTTGGTCCTTATTTAACATTTTACACGATTTTTTGGTCCGAATAAATGTTAGTGAACATATACCCAAAAGGCCAAAACTGTACCACCTCACTAAAACTTTCAGATTTTAGCTTTCTTTGGTTTATCTTATTCGCTGGCCATTTCATATTTGATTATTCCTAATTTCCTGCTAGATTAGCTTTTATTGTAATCGCGAATTTCGTTTTGACGTGAGTCTCAAAGTCATCTTCGACGTTCCTAATGGTATACGTACGTATGGATCATATATTATGGAATAGAGTAAAACAGTTCGAACAATGAAAGAAGTTTTTTTTTTTTTTTTTGGTCGCAACTACATATAAAAGTATACAAGTTGTTTTCGAGATCTAATTTAAGATAAGGATATGTAGTTTGAAAGTTGAGTCGTTCAAATCAAATAGGTATATCGACCCACTTTAATCATATGGAAAAAGACCAACTGGTTATAAAGTCGAAAACTTAATTTAAATCGATATATGAAAATAGTAGAAAATTTGGATTTGACAACGATTATCGTCAATAATAATCATTGGAGGGAAATGCTTTTATCTTTAACTTTTCTATTTGTAAAAAAAGATTTTACCGGATCGGTGGTATCACTCACATCTCTCATGTTCCAATCATTTTCTCTACATTTTTTTCTTTATGATTATTATTTTCTGAACAGAGTTTTGAATTGGAACAAATAATAATTTCTCCGACGCCACATTGACAACTTTTTTCTCCACGTTCTGATCAATGCCTTCCTTAGCGATATCCACTTTTGCTTTCACTTGCCTACTTGAAACATGGTATATGGATTTTATTTTGCATAGTCAAATATTGAAATTACTTGATAGATTTCATTGTGTTTGTTCGTCAATCGTTATATAAAATAAGAAACAGATAATGAGATTTGGAGATATTGTAGCATGCATGGCCTCATGGGATAATGTGTTTTTATGAGATAAAATGATGACGGGAATATGTGGAGAGGAATGGCTACATGGATCGGAGGTCGACGAGGGACAGAAGACCAAATCAAAGATATTTGATTGAGTTTATAGATTTAGTCTAATTATTCCGTTGACATCATTTGTTCATTTTTCACGTTTTAAAAACGTGAATTATATTCCACTATTTGTTTATCATCCAGTAAGTTTTTACAAAGGATAAAAAGTACAAAAAGTTGTTACATATTTGAAAAGTTATTTATCTTTTCTGTTACATGTATGAAATGAAAATATTACATGTACGAAATGATTTATATTTTCTGTTTGCATTAGTTATTTTTTAGAGCTTAAACAAAGTGATTACATACACAACCTTATTGTATCTATTCTTTAACACGATTAGTAAAAACCCTAAAAAGACGATCCACTGACCACTACAAACTTTGTTTTTCTCTTTACGCTTTACAAATTTATCAAGTTTACTATAGTCACAACATTTATAAAACATAAAAGTAATAGATAAAAAGTTAAAAACCGCATTGCAGTTGGTCCACATTATACATAAATTATAATGTGATCTGGAATTATTGTGTGATATGAAAAAAAAAAAAAAACTACTGTATGCGCATCGACAGAAAAAACAAGCTTTAACTTAGATTTGGTGGCGCTTCTTGTCACATATACTCACATGCGGAAGAGAGAAGCCTTTATTCAATAATTAATATATGTGGTTCCACAGGCAAAGCCACTAAAACGATTTTTGTTTTTCAAGTTTTTAATTGCATATATCCATAAAATTTGCGCATAAATCAAGATATGTAGGGCCAAAAGTAACACTTCAAATCAAAAGTTTCATACCACACATTGGACTAAAATAATTCTCAAGATTGTAGTCAGATTCGAGTTTATCAATCCATTGACATTCTAGTTCTTATCACCCACTGACACTCTAGTGATGTGTGTTGAATTTGATCAATCAAACTGATAATCTTGGAACTTTGTGAATCAAAGTTGGTTAAGAAAGTATAAAATCGTAAGGGGAATCAATCGGATCTTGTTGCTATTTAAAACATAAATAGTACTGGTCGTCGATCATGATTGATAATTTTTTATATCTATCTCAAAATGTGAAAACGTTTAAGCATCTTCAGTAACAACAAGTCTAACACTATTGAAAACTAAGTGGTACGGTGAGAATCCTAAGTAAAGATTATTCAACGACGAACATAATCATACTTTTATATGGAATTAATAATTGACACAAAGTGTTCGCATAATGATTATCTTTTCTTCGGTGGAAATAATTTAGACTTTGCCATCTTGGTAAATGGTAATCATATCAAGCAATCGAGTACTTTTTAATCTTTGTAGAAAGAACTGTTGACTACCGACAATGAAGACTTGTCTTCCATCTCTTTTAATTTGGATCATTTAAAGTGATGAACTCTTTTCTTTTAACTAGCTAATAAGAAAAGATGTTTTGGAAAAGAACAGTTCTTTCAAAATTTATGATCAAAATGTTTGTGCAGACACGGTTTATTACGCATATTATTTTTAACCTAGTAGATTCGTGAACAGTTAAATACAATGAAGGTTTTTGTATTAAATATATATTATAACATATATAGTTGGCAGGACTATTGTTGACAAAAAGTGAAAGAGATATTTGCTAAATGTCTACAGAAAAGAACTATTTGAGCAAATGTTTTACATGTCACAAGGACCACGACCAACCAAACCATTCACCGGCGTGACCAAAAACAATCATTTCAGAATTTTAAAAAGAAGAAAATAGATACTTAGTTAACAGCAAGCATTATATTATGACAAAAACCAATACTTATTAAGAAAACCAATTAATTGAAATGAACTCCATAGCATTAGAATTACGTTCTTAATTAACCATCTCACTCTCTTCACTAGGTTCAAATCGATCGGATGAGGCATAAAAGAAATGCATCGCTTAAGGTTCCTGAACGCTTGCGCGAATGGTATGCAGAAGCGAACTAGAAGAGTACAAATTGACCTTTCTCGAGTTGGACAAGTCTGGGTTCGAAGAGCAACTTTATCACAGATCGACGATTTGTTATTATCTGTCAAAGAAAGGCAAGCAAATATGTTGGATCGGAGGAACAAAATGATGAATCTAGCAAAGAATAAGCTTTGAAAGAGTGGTTCCAGGCTTAGTGTTGTTGATGGATAACTATGATGCTCCTTGGCTTTTTTAATTTATAACTACTACTTTCTATTTATAACTGTGTTTAGTGATTCCTCTCGTTCATTTCTCTATTGCTAATGTCATTTGCTACATAATCTTAGTATTACACATAATTAGAGATGTTGTGATGGCACCGCAGTCTTAGCCCTGACTTTTCTGATCAATGAACGTGGGAAGAGAGCTCTCATGTTAAGATCCAATTCTGATCATTCATTGAAATCAGTAGCACCAAGTTTCTCGTAATAAAACGCATTCGGACAGATCGAAAACGTTTGAAATCAAACGTCTGGTGACACTTTCCTCAACAGTAAACTAGAATCAGGATGAGAACATCTTACTCGTTTCTTTTGATCAAACTGTTTCTTACAACGTCTACGTCAGACCTTTAACCAGAACTAAAAAAAAAAAAACTATAAAGAGAGGATAAAAGGTATAACCTAGCTTGTCTTGTGCGTTTAAAAGCTAGTGCAGTAAGCAGAGAACTGTCATTTAAGAGGACCAGTGAAAATGGGTTGAATCGCAGTTTTGAAGTCCTCACAAAACCGTTGTTCAGAGAACCTTACCGCTCGTTTTCTAGCAGATTCAGCCATTTTAATCCTCTCTTTTTCACTCATCTTCACAATCTCAAGGATCGCTTCGGCGTATTCCTCCACAGTCTCAGCAAGAAACCCGGTTCTTTGTCCGTCTTCTTCCAACACGATGTCCATTTTGGGTCCAGCTGAGTTGTGAGCTGCACAACAATTGAAAAACAGAGGATCCATTAGAGAAATTGCAAGAGTAACTGAAATTTTAAGATAAAATCACATACACAAGTCTTTATATCTGACCTATTGGGATCGCACCAGCCGCCATGTACTCAACAACGCTAATCCCAAAGTGTTCATCTATCATCCCATGCATTCCTGCAACTGCATTTCCTAGCAGTTCCACTAGTTCTCTGCAATCCGAAACTAACAACTAAGAATCATGGAAGCTCTGAGAGTATTGCAAGACAAAAGTTTTGAATAGAGAATGTCGTAAAGAGCTTTGAGCAAACACCTGTACATGGCGTTTTTATAGAATTCCACGTCTCCATCCACTTTTAGTTCAACTGCTCTGTCTTTCAATTTCTGCAGACGTTCTTCATCTGAATTGTTTCTACAACTTCCCACAAATTGGAGCTTGGGTCGAGGGACGTCTGCATCTAATTTCTAGAAGGCTAGTGCAAAGGCCTCAAGCTGAAGCATATGAGCCTGATACAAGACTGTAATTGAGTAAGCTGGACGACTCTTTTGAACTTTGGAATGTGAGACCTCAAAACTATAGTACCCTATTCCCATAAGACAAATACTGGATCCCTCACCTTCTCAGGACGAAACTGAGCAACGGATATGATTTTTGGAGGATCTGAAGATCTTTCAAGTGGGAATGCCTGCATTAAGCCCAATAGGTTAAATAAAAGCCATAGAAGTGACAAGAAAACAGACAAAAATCATAAGATTCAAGCTGTCTGATGGTTATCACCTGAAGTCCTGAAGTATCACAGGGCGGGTAGACCCGTGTAATCCGTTCTGGAATTCTCCAGAGCACTTCGATATGTGACTTTGTCCACGAAGAGTTAACCATAGCTAGATGAGTACATGACCCAACCATCCCATACATCCAGCTAAAAGCTCTGTAATAGACTAACTTGCAAGTAGATAACCAATTGCTACACAAACAAAAAGCAACAAATATCATTAGCCAACACGACTTATACTAAAGTCTGAAAAACACGAAATAAGCAAGGAGATAACAAAAACCTCTTAGCAATGGAAGCATCATTGTTATACATAGAGTTCCTCTGACGAACACGAGAAATCATATCCAAACTAATAGTTGGATAATGAGTATAGCAAACAACTTTGCAACCAAAGATCCGAGCAAGAGGATATGTGAAAGCATATCCACTAGTGTCAAGGAAATACAAAGGAGTGAACTTGCGTAATGCTTCCCACGCTAAGTAAACCGAACCAAGACTCTGACCTATCATTGTGAAATGTGGGTAAGTCCTCTCTTCAATCCATTTCCTTTTGCTTAGATGAATCACCTGAGCCACACAATAACAACATCAAAACTAACCCAAATTGCAGAATTTAAACTTGCCCTCAAATCTGAGAGGCTCTGTGTTATTAGAACCAATTCAAATTGAATTAAAGTTGATAAAGGTTTAAACTTTAAGATTGTTGATCTATTAAAGATATAAACTTTAGGAGTAATGGGACCTTAGGAGGAGATTGAAGGTGAACACCGAATCGATCAACGGCGCGACGAGCTAAGCTATCAGAAGAAGAGTCATGATCTCCGGTGAAGATGACACAGTCAAGATCGGGATTTTCCTCTTGGATGGCTTTGACTGCGCACCAGAGCACTCTCTCGCCGCCGCCACCGTCATTCGTGTACGGATGGAAGAATCCCACCGCACGTTTTCTGCTCTTTCTTGCATTGATCACGGAAAGTGATAAACTCAGAGATACGGCGAAGATGATCGTGAGAAGTGTATAGAGAATGAAGCAGATCGCCATGGAAGCAGAAAAGTAGACAATTCCGAAACTTTGATTTATTTGGTTTCAATCTTAAATCGTGTTTCTGAATATTGTAGAAAACACCCCCAAACTATGACTATATTACAGTTATACCCCTTATATCTTGATTAGTTAAATAATTGGGGGGTTTAACTCCCAAAATTGATGCCAATATTCCCTTTCATCACCTCTTCCTCTAAATAGTCAAATACTATATAACATTGTTTTCTCTTATGATCCAAATAATTGAAACGTGTGGCTAAACAATTAGAATTTTGTTTACTACGATCCAAATTATAGGAAAATTAGGGTTAAAAGTTTATAATTTTACTTGATTCATTCATTTCTAAAGGACATTGGTGTTGTGACTTGTGAGTAACATTTCAACCTCACAACCATCTTCTCTACAGCATAAGTTTAAATAAAACCACATGCTTTGACTAACACCAGCATTGATCCGAAGTTAAGCCATGAGAATCCAAGTATGTGTCAATATACTCCTCTTGACACATTCAGTACTTGTATGTTGCCACAATCCATGGATTCGCTGTCCAAACAAATTGAAGATGACAAAGTTCTTACTATAAATTTGAAGAAAATATTCGAATTCAATAATGTATTAAAGAAAAGATTTCATATAGTAGTATTAAAAATGAGATTTGATGTAAAATGTTCACTTAGTCTCTCTGATTTGGCTTTTAGTTGTAATATATAAAATGACCATTTGACCACTTAGTCTCTCTAATTCGACTTTTGGTTGCGCTAAGCACAATGGAGACATTGTTGTCGTGAGAAAGCATTGGAACCATCTGAAGCAACTCTTTAAAACCTCTTGTGTTACGATACGGTCCCAACCTTACCACCATCTTCTCTAGTGTCTTTGTGGTTTTAAGAACAAGTTTCATGAACAAAGCCACATGCTACGACTCTGCACTCCTACGGTAAATGTGTCCAAATACCCTCGCTTCCAAGCATAGATACGGATTCCAGCAATACAAATCTAAGTGGCTGTCAAGATTCTCCTCCTATATATTTACAACAAAAAAGATTTCATCAGTAATGCGAATAGATTATCTATATCTCAGATTAAATATAATCTCAAAGTGAGAAGGATCGGACATGGTTCTTGGATTATTCAAAGTCGACAGAATGGTCATGATGAAAAGCTAAATAGGCTTATGAAAACAAATTACCTTAATGGCGTCACAATCCATTGTGCGTAATGTTAGCTTCTTTAATTCAGGTGAGTTTTGTAGCACTCTTACTATACCAGAAATAACACATCGAGAGATAGTTGTGTCAAGCGTCAAAACTTTAGCCTTGAACTTGGGAAAAGGAAAACCATGGAGATCGGCATGAGATAAAGCCTAACAAAAAGCAAAAGACAAATATATAGTGAATAACAAAAAGCAGCTCTCAAGAAGCACATCAAGCTATATAATATCCATCCATATGACACTTGTATACACCAAAATGTACCTTAAGAAAGTTTCCACCAAGAGTAAGCTTCTCTACATTCTGCACCTTCTCTAGAATCTTTAGCACAATGGTTTGAAGAAAACTACTGTTTAATTTTTCAGTTGAGACAGAGTCAATGTCTAGTTCAGCTTCGGTTAAAGACGAGACATCAACTAAAGTATATGGAAAATCAGAGATTGTAAATCTCAATCTAAGGGAATGGATATGTGGTGCCACAATCTTTGCCCCCTGAAGCCAATGTTCGCTTTCTATTTCTAATGTTTTTAGATGCGGTGACTTGCTGAGATCAAGAACACACAATTCATCGCAGAAATACAATCTTAAGGTTTCGAGATTCGGAGAACCAGATAGAATCTTAGCAAAGGGTTCGTCATAGATGTTGCAAGTGTGCAATGAAAGGATCTTCAAAGATGTCCAAGACACGGAGCATTTGGGATCCAATATAGTATAACCTGACTTAACGTAAAGTTGCTTGACAGAGGAATTGATGTAGAAGATATCAGGAATATCTTCGATACAAAGTGTCAGCGACAGATTCTCCACGTTTCGGTTCATGGAAAACTCGATCCAACTGTAAACGTAAGGATAATAGTAGTTCCAATTGAAACGGAGCTCAAAACTCATCATCTTGCGAGCCGTGTAGCGAGATAGGATTTTCTCTATCGACTCACGGGCATTAGTACAGCCTTCTTGGAAGAAGGAGAGGGAAGGTATATTGCACCATATATGTCTCCATCTTCTCGACAAGACCGAAGTTCTGATTGCGGCTTTCGTCGGGATGAAGGAGAGGATAACTTGGAGGATCTCATCAGGCAAAGAGCTGATTGAGTCTAAATCTTCGCTTGACACTCTTGCTCGTTTGATTTTGCGGCGGTGATTAGAGAAATAATGGCTAGGGTTTCTTACAGAGGCGGTGGCGCCGTCTCCGTTTCCGACTTTGCCAGCCATCGTAAGTTATCAACTGATAATTTGCAATTTTATTCCCTAAACCTAGGCGGTTGAGTAACCAACAAGTATCTCAAAATATTAATGAGCTCTAAAAGCTCATTAAAAATTACAAACACAATACAGTTATTTTCCTTCTTTCTAAAATTTGGGCTCTAAGACCATCTTTATTGATGGTCTCTTAACACAACTCTTAAGTTAAGAGTATGTCTTAGAGCAGCCTTAACGGTAATTTTTTAAGAAAATCTTCAGATTATGTTAGCATTTAATTGATTATAATTTATTCCCAAATAGGCCTTTAAACTAAGAAGAGTTCCTTAGCTAAGAAACAAAAATAATGTTAAGAGGTGAACTTATTTTTAAATAATCCTAAGAAGCATTTTTAAGAACCCTTAGATAATCATGTTCTTAGAGCAACAACAATGGTTGAGTCCTTAAAAGGATTCTTAAACATATTTTAATCATAAATTATGGCAATTTTAAGGTTAAGAGTTTTTGATGAATCCTTAAAAATTTGTTTGTCCAATGGTAGAGTCCTTAAGTGGGTTTCTTTAAAAAAAAACATTATTTTTAAAATGAAAAATTAGAAACATTTTTTATTTCTATGTGATAAAACTTAATAATTATTACAATTTCTTAAAATTTTAAACATACATAACATAAATATATATAAAAAAATACAAATCAAAATCGGAATAAGGATTAGTCGTTAGCTTTGGATTTCGCTTTGAGCTTCAATTCTACATTTTATGAGATGATATCATGTGTTTGCAAGCTTATTCTGCTCTCTATCTATCACTGGTGAAAAGTCCAACACACTTGTGAAAAGGAAATAATTCTCTGAAGGAGAATATTGGTTTTGGTCTGATGTTGTGGTTGTCTTTTGTCATATTGTGGGATCTTGGTCCTACTTAAAGCATTCAATGTTGTTATCATCTTTGGTGAAACTGAATCACTGGTTATGAAATTGCGATTGAAATTAAGATCATTGCTCTGTTATAATGCAACTATCCATTGTCTAATCTTCGAAAGAACTTGTGAAAAACTCTCACACTTGTATAACTTTGAAGAAAGTATTTACAGTATTGTTTAGCAATATGGAAAAACAAAATGAAAGGTAATTTTGACATACAAAGTTCTTTAAGAATATAAGCTTATAAAAAAGTTAATGGAGAGAAAAAGAATGCTAAGATTTTGAGCTCTGTTTATTGAACTCAACAACACTTAGTAGTTCCTTTGCCGTAGAGGAGAAAGACTTTGCAGTATCTTCCATTTCCGTCGTCCTCAAGCTAATTCCCTGCAGATATACATACAAACAGATTTTTATCTCTAGAAATGAATCAATCAATGATTAGGTTAAATCTGAAAAAGCCATGAAAAGCACCTCTAACTTTTTCCGGTTGTCTTGAAGTTTGCTCTAAGCCATTTTGGCAGCTCCCATTTCCTGCAATCACAAATGAAGATGAAATCAACGCGAGCTGGAATTACAAACTTGTATAAGGCTTATAGAAGCTTACCTCGGACGAGTTAAACCCGTATTTCTTCTTGATCTGATCGACTGTGGCACCGTTTTTCTCCTCATGCTTTTCTCATTGGTTACAACACTCTTCTCATTCTTAGTTGCCATCTTTTTCAGCTTACCTTTGAAATTGCTAAACCTATTCACCATCTTCTGCTTACTAAGCCGTGACAATATCCCTTGTTCTTTAGGCTTCTCTTGTTGTTGACTATGATGATGATCGTCGATGTCAATGTCATCTTCAAAACGTCAAAAAGAAAAAGATCAGAGACATACGCCAAACTCAAATATTGCATCACGGAAGGACATCAAAAGTGGACCATACCTATGTCTAGCTCTTCTTCAGAGAAACAGAGAGACATACAAAACAGAGATTCAACTTGATATCAAATCCGAATGGAAACAAACAATCTAAAGGCAAAAAATCGTCTTCAATCATGTCTAATAACGAAGAAAGAGACTGATTATGTATTCAAAGCAACCTAATTGCGTTTACATCAAAGAACCCTAATTTATCTTTCATCAATTCCCAATTCGACAAACCCTAATTTCGATAACATCTAAAAAAAAAAACAAATTCATCACGATCTACACAATCAAGTTTCTTCGGATTTTCTCTTCCGATTTGATGATCCACCGTCGGATGATGATGATCGAGACCTTGTTCTTTCTCTGTCGCCTTCGGAGAACACAAGAGAAGAGAGAGAGATCGTGAAATGAAACGGGAAAGAAAAAATTAATTTGTTTTCTCAGTCCACAAACCATGAGAAACTGACACGTATGGAACTCTTGCAGACAAAAAAAAACTCTAAGCTTAGGTACGTTCCTTAGCTTAATTCACATTTTAGATTTAATTTTTGCTTTTTTCTTAAGGATTCATAGTTTATGAGTCCCTTTAGGACCACCATTGGACTTGCTAAGAGACTTTTGTTAGTTATAAGACATATCTCATAAATTAAGAGTTGTCCTAATAGACCATTGATAATGTTGCTCTAAAATCTGAAGCGAAGTGAAAGATTGTTGCCTATACTTTGTATGAAGTCTTTAAAAAAAAAAAAAAAAGTGAGATGTAGCAAAGTCTTTTGGTGAGAGACTTGCATTACCAACTACAAAAGTCTTTTAGTAGTTTCTTGTAATAATTAATGATGGCATCTCCGGAACATACTATTTCAAAGAAGTCGATCAAATCACATATCAAAATTAATTGATTTGAGTTACTTTTTTTTTTCGAGCTTTCCGGTAATTATACAAAAAGCCGACACATAAGAACAACAAAGCTTATGGAAAAGATATACTACTCATCAATGGATGATCCAACTTATGTTAAGGTTTACCAAAACGATCCTATGAATATTTTTGAATTTATAAATGATAAATTTCTACATGAGATAATTTTTGAATGATTGTCATGTGAATCTTGTAAATAAAACATAGTTTTTTTTTTCTTAATGTTATTATTGTCTTTATCTAGGATACAACAAGATTTGTCTGCATCCAATTTCTTTAATACCTTTTTCTACAAAGAACTTGATGAGTTGTAAGGTATTTCATCTCATCACGAGAAAATATTTCTCACATTCTCCTGATTCTCAATTTATCCTTATTATTTATGTTGATTGGTTTATTTGTGCTTTTTCTGCACATTATAACAACTCATATTTTGGTGTGTTTCTAACCATTTTCTTACCAATATTTTGGTCAGAATATGTTTATGTGAAGAACCCCACACTAATTTCAATGCTCATATTCTAGTTCCACTTTCTATGATTAACGAACTGATTCAAAGTCAAATCTTCGAACTCCCTCACGATATTGGCGAGCAATATAAACCTTGTAGTATGCTACCTTGTGCACTTTTCTCAGCTATCTGAAGATGCTAAGATGTTTGGCTTAAAGGTTTGTACCGGTCCTTTCCACCAACACTCATGTATGGTTGGCTACCACGCTGTTACAATGGTAGATGTTATGCTTATTGATGGCAGATGGGTTGCAATCTGTAAAATGAACAATGGTGTGGATGTTGCTTCTCAAAGCTATGCGTATGTCTGTCTATCAACGATGTATATGTTTGTTGGTTGCACTCTTGAAGGCAGATAGTTGATTAGGCCAAGTAGCAGGCCAGTACGTCTCATAACAAACTTTGTTGTTTTAAAGATGCATGAGAATAAAAAGGGTGAGAAAAAACATGATGAGAAGAAACATGACGAGAAAGACCCAAAGAACCCGAAAGAAAATAAATTGAAAGAACCTTGTTCTATGGCGGGTCTATATATTACAGGTTCTAGTTCTAAATAGAATCAAAAGAACAAAATTCTCCTTTAAAAATTATAAAAGTGTTTCATAGAGTCTTATGTTTTTACTGTTTTTAATTACATATCTCATCGATCGCCACTAGATAACAAGTCTGCACAACTGTTTTCATGGTTTTTTTATGTAGTTTGTCAAATCAAAGTACTTAGCAAATTTTTTTGCTTTTCTCGTATATTTGCTGTGTTTATCGTTGTAATTTGTCAAATCAAAGTAACTAGCTAGCACTTATATGCAACTGAGACAAGAAAATCAAAGAAATGGTAACTATAGTTATCAGAGTATCTTCTCATTTGTGTGTCCCTTTAGTATGCGTTACTCAATTGTACACTGAAATTAATGATGAAGATCCCCAGACGGATAGATAAATAGATTAACTTTGTCTCAGGATGGTTAGATTGTGCAATTTCATGTATTCATCATATCGTAAACCAAAAATATTTGGAGCTTGATATCCCCAAGAACAGTAATAATATATTAAATGTTCGAAATCTTTAATTTATTTACAAAAATGCTGAACAAAATTATCAATATATTAAGACCTAATTATGAAATTAATTAAGTTTCGCTAAATACTAGTATATGTTAATGAATCATGGAAGAAAGTGTTGTAGCTGAATTATGATTAGACTTATATCATCCAAAGAGCCTCTCTTAAACGATAGCTCGGCTAGTTTCTTGCAAGCAGAAAGTGTCATTGGATTCTCTACGCCTACGCAGTACGGCCGAACCACATCGACCGCCTCTTGGTTCGTAACCTATAACATTCCAAAAAAAAACCAGCTTCCACATTCAATCCAAATGCATTTCTTGTTATTAAATTTTTGGAATCATGCATTTCTTGTTATGCTTACCTTGTCCCACAGGCCATCAGATGCTAAGATCAAGAATTCGAACTCCGGTTTAATCCGTAATGTTCTGGTTTCCGGTTCGGCTATAACCCACTCCTTAAGATACCGGTCTCCAATTCCTCGTGAGACTGCTAATGTTCCTTGAATTCTCCAAACGCCGTTGCAGCAGTCAACATAACCACCCTACACACACACACACAAAGTAAGTAAACCAAACCCAAAATCAAACACAAAATAAACCTAACCGCGCTACAACATCATTTGAACGCAAAATAGTAGAATGATTGTCAAATTTGCAGATTTCATCAACCACATTTTTAGTATAGAACCGCATTTTCCAATCACACATTCCGAAAATCCATGAATATAATAAAATTTAAATTTTTAATGCATTGTTACTAATCAAAATCCAATGCACAGAGATAAAACTCACCAATGCTTCAATCCTTTTGAGCTCATTTGCTTGAGAAGGATTGTGATCGGAAGTGAGAGCTTCCGCCGTTCCACCACGACTCATAACAGCCCGGCAGTCTCCTGCATTTGAAACCGCAAGCTCGCCTTTCGATATCAAAGCGGTTACACAACACGCGCCGCCTCTAGAACCTTCTTTCAAGAAATCCTCATCCGTTTTGATGTACCCTTCTCTTATCGCTCTCTCCATTGAGCAACCTTCTTCTCCTGATCTCGCCGATGCCATAGCCGACTCAATATTGTTCCCGAGATTCATCGCAGCGAATTCCGCCGCCTTGGATCCGCCGTGACCATCAAATACTCCAAAGAAAGCTTTTTTAACAGCTCCGTCGTCTTTACGATCAACCGCCGCGAAGTACCGATCTTCCATTGGTCCGCGTCTTCCTCTCTTACAATAAACAGAGTAGTATCCATCTTCCTCAGCTTCAACAACCTCCGCTCCTTTCTCCGCCGTCTCTCTCGTCGTACTACACCACGATGCAACCATCGGAGCCGCCGTTAAGTCAAGCATCGGCGGTCGTTTTCTTTTCAACACCGTTTCGGAATCCGAACCAGAACCCTTAGTTGTTGTCTCCCTTGGCTTTCTTGGAGGACAAGCAACCATCGTCAGCTTCGGTGGCGCCGAACGAGGAGAAGACAACGGCGTTTTTACCGACGTCGGAGAGAAAACAAGCGGAGGTGGGAAAAAAACAGGAGATTCCGGAGCCATGATTACAGATCTCTTCATCGCGAAATCGTCGGTGTGTTTCTTCTCTCGATTTCTCGTTTGTTTGATCGGATTCTTGGAGAGTTGCATATAAAGAAATAGGGTTGCTCTTTTTTTGTTGTTGTTGTGTTTATATAATTTCTTGTTGTTTACGTCTGAGAAAACGAAGACCTTGTGAATAGGGGAACAATAGTGGGCGGTTGGATTTTTTTATATGACTAAGTTTCGGTCAATGGTCAACGACGATTATTTCATTTCTCTCTCTTCCATGCTAATTAACACCTTCGTGACCAAGTCTCTTTCTATTTCTCTCGTAATTTTTAGTCAAATTCACGTCGGTGCCCAAATTACCTTTCTTATCAATTTTTTTTTCTAATGGCTTTTATTAAATTGCCATAACGAGATTTGAATAGAAAGGTTGGACTCGGTGATCACGTGAAATCTTTTACCTTTGAATCTATGGTGAACTACATTATGCGCCGTCCATTGAATACAACAGTTGTGTCACATTACTGATTTATTCAATTGAAAATATTTAATTACTGTATTTTAATTTTTTAGTTGTTTTTTTTAAACACACATATATATGGGCATGATGATTCCAAGATTTTTTTTTAAAAAAATTAACTGAAAATATATTAACTAAATTCATTAAAACAAAGCATACATGTGCAGGTTCGTCTCTGACCCATGGCAGAGTGGGCATTTTCAAAGGGCCCAAAATTTTAAAAGTCTTTTATTATATAATTTTGTTGTATGAGTTGAAAAAAAAAACAAATTAATTAAATAAAAGGGCCCATAATTAAAAATGTTTCTAACATAAAAGGCCCAAAAAAATAACTAACCTAGTTATAATTAGCAAAATGTTTCAAAAACTTAATTAATATAATCAAAAAACGTGTAAAATGGTAGAAAATATTAAAAAATGTGTAAAAGAGCCCATATTTTTTTTAAAAAAGTGTAAATTAGCCTGAAATTTTTTAATAATAGGGCCCAAAATTTTTTAAATTCTATTTTTTACATAAAAGGGCTCATATATTTTTATTTTTTTAAGATAATTCAAAATTTATTTATAAAATGGTCCAAAACTTAACTAAAAATTCCATAAAATCTCAAAAAAAAAAATCTATAACAAAAAGTCCAAAAATTTTGTTTGGCGCTTTTTATAAAAATAATTTATTAACGCTCATTTGCTATTCAAACAAAACATTCAAAAATTATTTACTTAAAAGTTTGACTAGAAAAAATAAATATGTGGTATACCGCGGGTCAAATACCAATATTCTATAAATATCGTATAAATAAAAGGCCCATTTTTGTATTTTGCCTAAGGTTGTACAAAAGCCAGAGACGGGGCTGTACATGTGCCTGCTGCAAATATTCCTATTGGTAGAAACATTTTAATTTCAAACCTCATTAAGGATATGAAGAACATGGATTACTTGCTAGTTCCCATAACTAAAGATTTTTATATGGTTTATCATCAAGTTTGTTTCAACAAAGCATAAAGTTAATTTGACAAGCTAGAAATAATTGCATAATACTAAGAATTTAGACGAAAAAAAAGACAAGTAGTAAGAATTAGGGAATTGGTCTTTTTTTTTGGTTAAAGGAATTAGTCATTGCTGGGTCTTCATACCAATTAATTCGATCAACTATGCATGTATCAAATTTATTAGAATCTTACAGGTTTAGATATTTGCATTCGTTACTAATTAATTTCGAAGTAGAAACCATCAACCTTATAAGAACCTGGTCAATGTTATAGTCTTATGGATAATTATTCAAATTTTAATATGTATGAATAAGTAAACTAATGGTTCAAACTCTTGATGGGATGTGGTACTATATTCGTGAATCCAAGTCAATAGATTCGAATAAGGAATTAGAGTTGAAACATATGCCTTTCAAGAAAATCTATCCATTTACAGGAGGAATTTAGGTATTGACATAAATGATTAATTATACGTACTATGTAGTTAGTACATTTACTCTATTGCAAAAATAAGCTTCGTTCATACTTTTATGAAGGTTGTTTATTCACCCCGAATCGTTTTCAAACGTCATAAGAAAAAGTCAATAATTTTCCTGTAGACCTGGCAAAATGTATTGTATTCATTTAAGGAAAGAGGAACAATTAAATACATGATTTAAGGAATCATACCCCTTTTTATAAATGATTCAAGGCATCATATACAATACGCAAGTGTGTACGTATTAATAATGATGTATATATGATTGAAGTTGCGGAACAATTGACCTTAATTCGTCAATAGGAACACAAATAACTTCCCTAGTAAGAATCACTCCCGGTGTCGCCCTTTTTTGACTTGGCAAGCCAATTTGTCACTGTAGTTTAATTTCGTTTGTTTACAAATACAACTAAAAAGAAGACAACATTTAGCTATAACATTGACGTAGCTATAGTATTGAGAGATAACCGTTCAAGACAATAAAAATTTACATTCACAAAACGAATCAAAAGAAGCAACAAGGACATATAACGTTAATAATTCAAATATTGCAGACACATACCAACTACCAAGCATTATGGAATGCTACACAAAATCAGTGTGGTAGTCAAAACCATGGTCGCCGATCCTCAATTTTGAAGAATCCATTAGGCAAAAACAAAAAATAAAATTAGGAGCTATTTTCAGAGATTTGAATCTTTTCAAAGTTGACAAAAAAATATTTGCTACATTTATTTTTCAACAATAAGACTTAATGTACGCTTTCAAATTGTAATTTTATTTTTAAAATGAATATTTGCATATGAATCTGATTAAAGTCGATGAAACGTATTCAATCAATTTGATCGGGAACTGAACATATCTTATGGACCACCTAACGTCAACGAGTTTTTGACCAGCAATTTATACACCTAATTAATAACCATAAGGCACAAATTCAATGAAAATTCACCAACATTCCAATCATGAAACCCATCCGGATTTCTTCTTCACGTACTCCTATTTACTTTCATACAGTATAGTCAAATGATTGAAAGATTTTATGAAAAACAAAGGCAACACAAAAAATAATTTCGGCGGTATAGTTAAAGAACACGCGGCGAAGAAGCACGGCACTCCGACGTTCAAATTATACGTCAGCTAATATAGTCAGACACGTGGCATGTCACCAAAGAAAGAAGAGCATACGTATGACGTTAGATTGTCCCTGAGTCACCACGTCGAACACCCACGTGGCAGCACAAGCAAAACCACCTCCGAATCAAATCGCAACCATATATAGAGCGAGCTACTATAGTCTTCTTCGTATCATCATCAAGTCGTTGTGAGTTTGTTTGGTTTTTACTGTCTAGCGTTTTAATAAACTTTTGTTGCAAGTAAGTAAAGAGCCATGGCGTCTCAGCAAGAGAAGAAGCAGCTGGACGAGAGAGCAAAGAAGGGAGAGACCGTCGTGCCAGGTGGCACTGGAGGCAAAAGCTTCGAAGCTCAACAACATCTCGCTGAAGGTCTTTCTTTCTCTCATTCATGGTTGCGTTTGTTTCAAGTTATATATGTATATAGACAATAGTAATGAGATTAATGTTTGTGGAATATTTATTATATGAAGGGAGGAGCCGAGGAGGGCAAACTCGAAAGGAGCAGTTAGGAACTGAAGGATACCAGGAGATGGGACGTAAAGGTGGTCTTAGTACCGGAGACAAGCCTGGTGGTGAAAACGCTGAGGATGAAGGAGTCGAGATAGACGAATCCAAATTCAGGACCAAGACCTAAATCGAACTCCCCACGGATGTAAGATTAATCTGGTTTACATCTTTTCATGTAGTTATATGTTGGGTTTAGTTTCTTGTCGTACGTAAGTTCTTTAGTTTACGGGATGATGATGACCATGTGTATGTTTTCGTCTACGTACGTAAAGTGTTTCGTTTGTGTTCCAGTACCCGGGTCTCTTCTTTAGTAAGAAGTTTGAGTATTTTGAAATCTCAATATAGTGTTGTTGGAGTCGTGGTGAGTGAAATTTGGAAGTTCAAGTAAAAAACAAGTACTAAAACAACCTGATAGAGAAATTCTTCGAGAGAGATTTAGCTCCCAAGTAAAAACAAGAAGTAAAACAACCTGAAAGAGAAATTGGTCGAGAGAGATTTAGCTCTCTTCACGACTAGAATAAGAATTGTCAAATTGCGGTGCCTGAACATCCAAAGATAAGTACGCATTCGAATTAGAAATAAAACTATTATTCAATGTTCTTAGATGGATAGGGAAATTTCTCACAGCCGTTTTGTGTATAGCACAACGTTCAATTTTGTTTTACTAAACGGTTTTAATGCGTTATAAAATCATACATAACGGTTTTAATGCGTTATTGAGAAATTTCCCTATCCATCTAAGAAATTTTCTAATTCGAATTCGAAAAAGAAATTTGGTAAGACACGACCGGTTCAGCAGTAGTTTCTCTCTCTCGACTAAACCGATTATCCCCGGTATTTAATTAAAAATCGGTTTAATAACAAACCGGTTCTCTCTAATTTCTTCACCGTCGCTCTCTCGTCTCTTCTCCGGCGACTTTGGACGTTCCCGTTGAAGTCGGAATCTGGTGTTTTGTTAGTTTGAGAGCTTCGTAAATTTTTCAACTTTATCACATTCAATCGAAAAAACATCAACTTTTGTAGATAATATACAGAGAGAGCAACTCGTTCCATGTATCAGGCAATCCCGGAAGACACCAATGATAACAATCAGCAAAAGTTCTCGGATCCAATTTCTGCTCCGGCGTTATGAGTTTCCCACTTCTCGAACCGTAAAATGAGGTATGCCCATCTTTTCTATACTCTGACATTGTCGTTATGTTGAGGAAATGTATCGGCACTTTTGTTGATTTCGTTACATTCACTGCGATTTCGTAAAGTCTTCGATTTGTTCCAACATCTATTGGTCTTGACATATTTAGTATTGGTTCTGTCTCTTTTTCGCACTTGTTTCCTTCATTGAATCCCCAATCTGAGCTTCTGTTGTAGTTGAAAACGATTAGTCTCTGCAAAGTTTTGATTTTTATGGGTGTTTGATGATTTTGTACCTGATATGAGTTGGTGACATGCTGCTGAAGAAGATTGATGTTTGATTTGGGTTTATGTTTTGTTCTAGCCAGTTTGTCCATGTTGATAACACTTGTTTGTATACGATATAGATTCCGATTTCATCGTAGTCTTTTGAGTCACCTTTGTTGAAAGATTCTTGTTTTCTTCAAGCATCAAAGTAGAAAGTTTTATCAAGATTGGCAATTTGAAAGTTTGGAACTTGGTAGAGAGATTGTCTATCACTTACAGAACTTTGATCTTGGAATGTCTGGTCCACCATATGTAGGTGTTGAATACAAGGTAGTCTGCGTCTTTCCAGTTCTCGCCGTGTTTCGAGATTGATTGCGGTATGATTACTGGATCAGTCTTCCCGTCTCTCTTGTCTGGAGGATCAGTGTTTGATTCTACTAAGAAAGGTGCCCAGTAAAATGCTATGGTCGCATTGTACTCCTACACATTCAAAATAGTAGAGAATGTAAGATTTGGAGTTCTTTTGCTTCTTGGATTATTACTTTTTTTTTGCTTATAAGATGTAGTCTTTAAGACCTCTGTGTTGAAGATTGACATTTGTGCTGTGTGTTTTAAGGTCTTTTTGCCTGAGTGAATCAAGGATTGGACCATACAAACCATGGATTGCCACTGATTGTAATGTATTGAATCACCAACGAACATCAGTTTCTTTCCCCTGAGTTTCTCTAGCAGCAGCTTTCCGTCGAACCTAGAAAGCGAAAATAGAAGGTATTTTGAGAGAAGAAGAAAGTGTTACTCATTTTGCTTATCTTTGTTCTCAGAAAGCTGGACTACTGACCTTGGCAAAGAGCAATCTCGAGGTTGCCATCTCCATTTCTGGTACTTAGAGTCTGGTCTCCCGTTTCTCGTACATGCCACCCACTCTGAGAGAAACTCACATTCATCTTCTTTGTATAAAGGATGTGTGATGTTATCAAGAACCCATTTTCCTGTGAAAACATCGCAGGCTTCTAATGGAACAACATCAGTCTTCTTGTCTTTATCTTCTTTGCTTTGTTGTGGTGGACTGATGTGTTCTTGCAGGTTATGTGTCTTGAATTCCTGAAACTGGCCAATCCTCAGCTGCTTCTCGTTGTAAAGATAGCATCCGAGAAGGAATACGGGTAGAAGAATGACGGCAAAGTATAGCAGAGAAAGGTAAGCTTTCCTTTCTCTGCCATCGATTTGTTTCATACGTTGTTCGTAGTTGGTTTTGGTTTCTGGAGATATGAGAATAATGGTTTCGACAAGTATGAATGTTGGGTCGTAGTTGGTCTATCAAAGAGTCTGTAGTTTCAACTAATTCAACACATTTTTACAATCATGGAGCTGATAATACATACCTACTAATTTGTCATTTATTGAAATTATAATATGTATGTTCCCAACGGCGGATCTACAGGGCACGTGCCCTAGGCTACTTCTTGAGAATTATCTAACAAACCAAGAATTATTCATTGGTAATGGCCCTAGGCTACTTCTTGAGAAACCAAGAAAAATAGTTTTTATAGAAAATTTGGTGTCTTTTTGGAAAAAATATTTAGTCAATACATGTTTTTGATTGGTGCCCTATATAAATTATTTTTCTGGATCCGCCACCCTATGACATGTAAACTTTATTCAACAAATTTGTAGCCTTAATTCACAAAACATTCTATGAGATACTTGACTCCCACTTTAAATCCCTTAAATCTTCGTCCTATATACATCACAAGAATTTTTTTAAAACCAAAAAAAAGGGAGGAAAGAATCCAAATAATTTCATCTTTGAGAAATAATATGTGTATAGAGAAACTCATTCCAAGTATCAGGGAGGCCTGGTAAGCACCAGTGTATGCAATCAGCAAAATTGGCTGGATCGGTTTGCTGCTCCCGCGTCAGCAATTTCCCTTGCTTGATCGTGTAAACCGAAGTATGTGCATCTTTACGATACTCGGACAATGCAGTGATGTTGAGGAAATGAATAGGAACTTTGAGAGACTGCGTAACGTTTTCCACCACCGAAAACAGCCTATAGTCCGTTCCCACCGCGGAAAACAGCCTATAGTTCGTCTTCACGTTGAAAGACATGTTTAAGATTGGTGTTGTCTCTAAAGCACACATTATACCCTCTGGATTATCCCAATCTAAGCTCCTACAACAAAAACAGAATAACAACCAAATATAAACATTTATATTTTATATACAAAAAAATTATGGATGGGAGAAATTTATTACTTGATGTGAAGAGGGGACATGCCCATGAAGAAAACAGTTGTACTTATAGGATCAATATTATGGTTCACCCAATCTCCCAATGTCCTCAACATCCTCTCGTACGCCATTGGCCGTTTGATCTCATCATACTCTGTGTCCCCATCATCGAACGATCCACGCCTGTTTTCATCACCATAATCTTCAACCCTCAGCCATTCATTATATGAGTATGTCAGTGTGTATACTATAACATCACTACTTACAGAACTTTGATGGAGACAGTGTTCATCCACCAGATGTAACTATTGAAGACAAGAAAGTCAACACCTATCCAGTTGACTCCATGTTTCTCGATAGACTCTGGCATTATTATACGGTCGATTATACTGTGCTTTCTCGGATCGTCTGAATTTGATTCTACCAAAAATGGTGCCCAATAAAACTCCACCGTCGCGTTATAGTCCTATTTTTGAATTTCAGTTTTGCATATCCCAAAAAGGTAAGAAATTGAAATTAATGTCATTACATAGGGCTGGGATAAATAACCGAACCGATCGACAATATTTGAAATTTAGTTCGGTTAACTGAGAACTTTGGTTTCGGTTCGGTTATCGGCTAACCGAAATATTATATATACATTATAATTTTTTTAATAACCAGATTATACCACAATTAAACCACTTTTCGTTAATAACCAAATCGAACTATCTGAATCTAACCCGAATTATCCCAAAATAACCGATAAAATCCGGATTTTTTTTTAAAAAAAATCGGTTTTGAAATTAACAGAGGAACCGAACTAACCGAACCGAAATAAAATTCGGTTAATTTTGGCAACATTTTCAAAACTCAAAATAACCGAACTAACCGGACTAACCAAAATCCCAGGGCTAGTCATTAGTGTCAGTATCATACAGGTGCATTAATATCATTATTACCTGAATTTTGAAAACAGTGAGAGAACCGGTCTGGTTTAAGCTCTTTCTACCGGGAGGAATCACTGATTGAACCAAACAAACCATTGATTCCCATTGGTTCCGGTTTAACGAGTCACCAACAAACATCAATCTCTTGTTCCTCAACTTCTCTAGCAACACCCTCGCTTTGAATCTTCTCATCAAACCAATCATAAAACACACAATTATTAAAAAGAAAATCAATCAAACCCAATAAAAACAGAGCATCTTGAAACAAAATAGCTTTACTTTGGTAAAGAACAGTCTCTAGGTTGCCATCTCCAGTTCTGAAACAGAGAATCTTTCCTTCCGTTTCTTAAGCAAGTCACTTGCTCCGTCAAGAACTCACACTCTTCTTCTTTATACAATGGATATGTCTTGTTGTCGAAAACCCATTGACCGGTGAAGAGATCACACTCCTCCGGCGGCAACTCCACAGATGAACTGGAGAATGGGTTCGAAGATGTGAAATCAGCAATGGAGGATTTGAGGTTGTCATTGTACATGAAGATCCCCAAGAGGAAAAGAGAGAAGACGATTACGAAGATTGAGAGATTACTCTTCTTTCTCTGCTTCATGATCACTCCTGTTCTTGAAGGTTGCATGATCTGATAGAGAAGAAAGAAGAGGGACTTGGTGAACAGTTATGTAAGTGTCGGCATGTGGCTAGGAGAGACAACACGAAGGAAAGAGAGTTAATCATATTCATAAAGGAGAAAAGAAGATTGGGGTTATTAAAGATTGAGAATAGTGAGTTAAAGAGCCAAACCTAATTGGTGGACAGGGAATTTCCTATAATTTTCCCTTTTTTCCCTTTAGAATTTTAAAACTAAAAGTCTCTCCCTACTTAACATTCATAGACTTAACTAATTTTGGAGTTTGGCAAAGAAAGAATAAAGTTAGCCGTTTCTTTTAAAATTGATGAATGAAAGTATGAAACTTGTCTCAAATCTCAATTATATTCCTCCCTAACGTAAAAGCGAAGAGGCAACTTAATAATCTCTTACTAATAAAAGATTGCTCATTAAGGTTTCTCAATGTGTCCACGGCAGATTTCACTATGTTTAACATTATAATATTTGTTAATTTCAACCTTGTGTTCATTATAATATTTTATGTTCCTTGTGATATGTACACTTTGTTCAACAAATCTGTAGCCTTAATTCACAAAACATTCTATGGCATACTTGACTCCCACTTTAAATCCTTTAAATCATCGTCCTATATAAATCACAAGAATTGTTTTTAATTAATCAACAAAAAAGGATGAAAGAATCCAAACAATTTCATCTTTGAGAAATAATATGTGTATATAGAAAATCATTCCAAGTATCAGGGAGGCCTAGTAAGCACCAGTGTATGCAATCAGCGAAATTGGCTGGATCGGCTTGCTGCTCCCGCGTCAACAATTTGTCTTGCTTGCTAGTGTAAACCGAAGTATGTGCATCTTTACGATACTCAGACAATGCAGTAATGTTAAGGAAATGAATAGGAACTTTGAGAGACCGCGTGGCCTTTTCCACAACCGAAAACAGCCTATAGTCCGTCCCCACCGCGGAAAACCGACCGTTGAAAGACATGTTCAAGATCGGTGTTGTCTCTAAAGCACACTTTATACCCTCAGGATTACCCCAATCTATGCTCCTAAAACAAAAACAGAATAACAATCAAATATAAACTTTAGATACAAAAAAAAGTTATGGATGGGAGAAATTTAGTACCTTCTGTGAAGAGGAGACATGCTCATGAAAAAAACAGTTGTACTTAGAGGATCAATGTTATGGTCCACCCAATCTCCCAATGTCCTCAACATCCTCTCGTATGCTATTGGCCGTTCGATCAAATCATACTCTACGTCCCCATCATCGAACGATCCACGTCTGTTTGCATCATCACAAATCGTCAATCCTCAGCTATTCATTACATGAGTGTTTGTGTGTCAGTTTGTATACTATAACATTACTACTTACAGGACTTTGGTGGAGTCACTGTTCATCCACCAGATGTAACTATTGAAGACAAGAAAGTCAACGCCTATCCAGTTGACTCCATGTTTTTCGATAGACTCTGGCATTATTATACGGTCGATTATACTGTGCATTATCGGATCGTCTGAATTCGATTCTACCAAAAATGGCGCCCAATAAAACTCCACCGTCGCGTTATAGTCCTATTTTTTAAAAAATTTCAATTTTGCATATCCCAAGAAAGTAAGAAACTAGTATAAAATAATGTCATCAGTGTCAGTGTTAGGCTGTCACACAAGTGTTTTACTTTACCTGGTTTTTGAAAACGGTGAGAGAACCGGTCTGGTTTAAGCTTTTTCTACTGGTAGGAACTTCTGATTGAACCAAACAAACCATTGATTCCCATTGGTTCCGGTTTAACGAGTCACCTACAAACATCAATCTCTTGTTCCTCAGCTTCTCTAGCAACGTTCTCGCTTTGAATCTTCAATCAAACCAATCATAAAACACACACAATTATTAAAAACACCAAATCGATCAAACCACAAGAAAACAGAGCATCTTAGCTTTACTTTGGTAAAGAACAGTCTCTAGGTTGCCATCTCCAATTCTGAAACAAAGAATCTTTCCTTCCGTTTCTTAAGCAAGTCACTTGCTCCGTCAAGAACTCACACTCTTCCTCTTTATACAATGGATGTGTCTTGTTGTCGAAAACCCATTCACCGGTGAAGAGATCACACTCCTCCGGTGGCAACTCCACAAATGAACTAGAGAATGGGTTCGAATATGTGAAGTCAACGATGGAGGATTTGAGGTTGTCATTGTACATGAAGATCCCCAAGAGGAAAAGAGAGAAGACGATTACGGAGATTGAGAGATTACTCTTCTTTCTCTGCTTCATGATCACTCCTGTTTCGAAAAATGGAACTCTTGTTCTTGAAGGTTGCATGATCTGATAAAGAAGAAAGAAGAGGAACTTGGTCAACAGTTATGTAAAGTGTCGGCATGTGGCTCGGAGAGAGAGAGAGAGAGAGTCAGAGAGATTCTCATATAGGAGAAAAGAAGCTGGGGATTATTAAAGATTGAGAATAGTGAGTTTAAAAGAGCCAAGCCTAGTTTTGAATCTCAAAATCATCTATTTTAATAATACCCATAGGTGATCAGCATTAAAGCACATCGATAACATCAGAAAATTAAAGATTTTATGCGAC